ACTCTTCGGGCTAACCCAATTTCGGTATAAACCTCTTATTCTCATACTGTTCAACTGAGCAATTTTATTCCCTTATCAGTTTGTCACAGCACATCTTCGCAACATTAGCTACATTGGATTACTCTATGTTAAGCATTGTGAGGTCTTAGTGTCTTCTCATAGCCGCTCATTTCACTACTATATAATCTTCGCACGTCATTCGTTTCTCCTATTACGTGTTGGTTATCCCTCATATAATCTTTGTGTACTAAGCACAATGTATAATTTTCGTATGCTCGTATTGAACATATTGAAAAAGGCTTACCTACCTAAGCTTGAGGTCGCTTCGATACAAACAGATACAAGTTCTGAGTGGCAATTATGAAAGGACGAGCATTCAAAACTGCTAAGTGGTTCAAATTTTGGTGCACTGGCGGACACAAGCGCTTACCCAAGCTATCTAGGGTGTTCAGTGGGAATGACGCTTAACCATATCCAATACTTCAGGGGGAAAAGAGGAGAACAGAGTCCTGAGTTGCAGCTGAAGCCACACACGAGCTCAACTAGTTCTGTAGTTGATTAGCATATGCCAACGAAAGCAATAATAGTGCTCGACCGCATGAAGACAGTTCATATAAGATTGTAAGCTTTTAAAAATAAAAGGAGTAAACTATTGATTCTAGAAAGTGTTTTATTTGAGTTCGATTGCGCCCCTGGCTCACCGTGCCTATCATCCCTCCGGGTTCGGGAAATTGGTACCCAACTTGTCCGGGAAAACGTTCTCTTCAATACAAATAGGAACGCCGTAGCCCGGCCGTCTCAGAACCCGAAGAAGAATTCACTCCACCAGCATTCAACGGTATTCATAATGAAAGGAAAATCCTCAAGCGGCAACCGAATCTATACCTAAAAGCTGGAAGATCTTCGTGGATGATGGATGCGAGGAAACGAGTCCAATGTGAGAAGTAATGAGATTCGTACTGTAGATGTGAGAGATGGGTTGTACTAAAAAAGGAAAAAAAGGTCGTTTTCTAGCGATGTAGCATAAAAACTATAGGTATTGATCGATGTGTAAAAGTGCGCCCGGTTTTTTTTAGTGCAACCAAAAAAAGCTTCCACATCGCTTCGTCATGCACAGAAATAGAAAGCGGGAGCGTATCGGATAGCAGTGAGGTGCCTATCACGTACAATCGGTCAATTCATGTGTCCAGCTAAGCTCGTCTAAAAAGGACGAAACAGGAATGTCCATCCATTGATTTTATACTGGATTCTAGGGAGATGTGCTGGTCACATTTATTTTATACTAAGCTTGTAAGTGAAGGACTTCTATGGCGCTGAATTTCGCTAAATTATCTATCTGGCGTCAAAAAAAATCGATAATCACGGCTTAAATGATTAATGATCGACTTATTTCTTCCGTAATTCCCAATATTTAACACAGACGCTTTTTATCATTAACTAGCACTTCCTGAACGCCTACTTTCTCGAATATGAGAGAAGATTGGAGTCAGAACGCTGATGAAGTGATGAAAACCTATCCTTCATCATTCATAATTTCATGTCGACCATCATTTTGACTTTGTAACAAATCCTACATCTATTACAACTTTGTAATAATTCTTACATTTACCATTACAAGAAAACATTTACTCTTGCCGAGATCTTTAATTTACGCTTGGTGAAAGACCGTAGATTAAACGTACATATCCCGTTAAGTGGTGGACAACCCGAGTCTCTGAATTTAGCAGAATCCTGCCATTACTACTTGACAAGTAGTAAAATGGTGAAAAAGAGATTTCTAGGTTAATTGTCACATTCTTAACTTACAGGAAGGATTGTTGAAAGAACCCATCACTCCTCTGCTTGATCGGAGAAGGGCTTTGTACACATCTAACCCTAGAAATGTTGTCATATGGTTCTTCGCAGCTATAACACGGTTCGCTTGTTGAGTGTGCTCTAAAACCCTTTACGAGGATTATCGCATCACACCTGTCAAAAATATTGAAAGATGCTCGAAGTTTTGATCAAGTATGTTCTCAGACGTGTTCTTCGGAATCGATCGGGACGAAGAGAAAATACCCGTTGGTGGCGAGTCTCTATCAAAACGATATGTCATTATCGGAAAAAAACTAATGTACGTGTTTGAGACATCGGATTTCGTCGGTCAGATGTACTCATTCACACTGCTGTGATCTTTCTACTAACAGGTTGTGTGCTTCTTTTCCACATACATCACACCGGCCGCCGTTTCACCACAGCTAGCCCGCCCCTTTACGACAGCTTCCACTCGATAGTTAAAGAGCATCAGAGTACAGCCAGCATCCTTTTTGCAACATCCGGCCAGAAGTGTGATGTCATTATTCGCTATTTCCAAACATCATCTACAAAATAATTTCATGCTTCTAACAGATTGTATTTTTTTATGACTTTTTTTTCTGCTGTCTTGCTCTATGAAAATTCTTTTTATCCTAATAAAAGAATGAACAATTCGACGTTCATCAATCCAAAAGGAATGCAGCATGAATTTGATTCCATTTGTAGCATAGTAGAGGTGATTGAATGCATATCTGACCAGCACAATAATTTTCACGAGCGGACAAATCTACTACCAATTTGCCGACGCTGGAGAGGGCTTGGCTACACACGGCGCAAGGTCAAACCAAAGGGCGATCTCTCAATTTCATTTTTATCCTAATACGACTCGCTAACCCTTTTTCTCTCTGTTTACGCACTTAGTATGATCACAAATATAATTAAACATTTCGTCTTCACATGTTGAGCTTCCTTTGGACTTCATCAAATTCCATCATTTTCATTCTTTTGCAGCCATTATCAATGCATGCGGTCGATCCCTATGTGAACTCTGCAGCGGCTTGAGAATTCATATTCACTGCTCATTGACATTCTGAACATTAGTTGAATGTAGTTTTTTGCGAACGAATCTTCAGCCGTCGTCTCAGACAACCTCTTAAAAGTCGGAAGAATATTCGTTTTCTTGTGGCTAGCCTTCGTCTAAGGAGATAACCGTTATTGTCGTCATCTGGAATGCTGATCTAGGACGTAAAGTGTTGAATGAGTTTCTATGGTACATGCCCGATTTTTTTTCCAATTTTTCCTTTTGTTTATCGGAATTTTGCAGTGTAAAGGAGAAGATCTTCTCTCGATGAGCCCTAAATACTTTCTTCACCAGTACGAATTCTGTTCACTTCCTCGCGATTGCTGAACAAGAAAACGACACATTCATATTCCAATGCCGAGGTTAATAGAAAGTCGATCCTGGGAACTGTCTGTTCACTTCGTTTTTTTCCCCTTTTAAGACTTTTGCAAAGTACTAGATCCTAAACAAACCACATCCATTGCACAAATTCATAAATCCTTTTTATCCACTTATCTCTCGTTATCGTGATATCACCTAGATCATCCGTCCTCCTGTTGATGGAGTAACTTGGGCCTGTGCCAGGAAAACTACATTTGTCTCCGTTGCGTATGAAAGTATACTATCAGGTTCTATTCGCTCTAGCGACTAGGTGAACATCACATTTTTCTTCTTGGCTTTTCTTAAAGAACTCTAACTAATGATTGGATACACTTGCTTGATACTCGATGCTTGAACTCACTGGTTGTGCGGGCTCCAGCATAATCTCTATTTTTCGGAGATTTGCAGGTTTAGCCATTGTGGTTTCCTGGAATACCGAGGTCAGCCTGGCCAAACTCTGCTCCAGGTCTTCACCACCGCAGAGAGTCGCAGCCCTTGTGGATCAGAGGGAGGTTTGGCACCATGCGACTTTGTTACCAGAATGGCGGTGGATTCTGGTATTGGTTTACTGTTAGCTAGGCTTCCTGATGGGAACGCCGCACTCCTCAGCTTGGGGACCCTGTGAGGGGGATGAATCCCCCCGCTGTTCATCGCAACCCGACACCAAAGAGCAGCTTCCAGCCACGACGAGGCGATAAACCGTTGGGAGTGATGGGATGGACTTCTACCCGATAATCCTTGAGGGATATGGTCGCTGAGAACTCTAGTCAGTCAATTGTCGTTTAGACACATCGCGTTCCATCTAATTTTCGGCAGTTTGGCGCACACAGCGACATCTCTGATCTTTGATTCTCGACGGAAGTCGGGGTTTCAGATTCCTTCTCTCACATGTGTAATGCAGGATACTCCCAGCGTCGTCCACTCGACTATGCGTTCGATGAAGCCGACTGATTTCGTCCTGCTTACTTTGCGTCCAGATTTCCGATGTGTATGTTGACACAGGAAGAATTATGGAATCGAAAGGGGGTACCATCAGACTTAAAAAGAGGACTGTATAAGTTTTATATCATGGTGCTTCTATAAATTAATAGTCGTTGTTCGACACCTTGTAGAGTCATTTATTCTTTGGAGACATCTCAAAATTATCAATACCTCGTATTTTAGGTGCCAATTTTGTTCATCTAAACTGAAGAACGTGTGATCTTCAAAGTTGTTGTTATATTGTTACTCCTTTTATCATGAGGGTCTAACCATTCTGAACACCACTGCTTATCACGATGGAAATGATAACTGATTGAAGCATGTTGATCTCGAAAAATGGTGGTGGTACTTGGTATCGACCACGCAAACTCTCCATTCATTTGTTAGTGTCAGGCTGAAAGAACAGGCAGAGAAAGCTTGAAGTGCTGGAATTTATAGCTGTATCGTTAGTGTTTTTGTCATTTATGCCTTACTCGTTTTTTCATGCTTCATGTTCTCATTCTCAATCGTTTCTACTATGATTTGAATCTGTTAAAAATCTCTCTGACATAAAGACGTTATAAATTAATATGAGCAGTTACATCTTAGCGAAAATTCACACTGGGGGATTTTTCACTGGGGACTCATTTCCGTCGTTGATTGCCTCAGGTGAGCTGGCTTTGGTCCGTACAACATCGCGATGTGATATTCTGGCTTCTCACGTTCGAATGTTTAGTGCTCTGTTTTGAATGAACTCGTTATAGTATCTGCTATAGAGTGCTATAACTCGTCCTCTGATTTCAGAATGTCAGCACAAAATGCTGCATCGCCAACCACTACTCCATCTAGCTCGTCAGGAGTGAAGCTCAAACAGAGTATATCGCTGTTCAATGGATGTACGATCATTGTTGGCGTCATCGTTGGCTCGGGCATTTTTGTCAGTCCAAAAGGTCTGTTCATGCTAAGGTTTTGTCATAGTTGTCAATTTCTAAACCTTATGAAATTATCTTTTCCTTATAAATCGCAAATCTATAACTCATGAAATCATGTTTAGAGAATTTTCAACGCTTTGTTCGAATATGAACAGTTGCTGAACTTCATTTACAGGTTCTCGAAATAAAGACTTAATGAAGTCAGGAACTGTAGTAGTAAAGTTGACTACCCGCAGATGAATAAGTAGATTAATAATCCCTGAAAAGTGTTACTAGGTTGAAAACCAAAGGATAGTGCTTTTGTGGAAGCATCCTGGAATTCTGTCCTGTATGAAATCATTATAGCGCAAAACTTATCATATGCATTGATTTGAATGCATGCGCTTCCCCAGTGTTTGTTTTGCCGCGAACGGGTCATTCGCTATCCTTTTCGTTTTTAATAGATAGCTTATCTAACATAGAAGTTGTATCAGACGTTGCCTTCGGAAAGCTCATCTCCATGTTAAACGATTGAAAAACATTTTTCGGATGAGTTTTTCGGTGGGTATTGAACGCGGGAAAAAAAATTAGGCGTATTCACATATGTGTTAACAAAAGACCTAGTCAATTTGCCCGTAGGCCTTTTTAACGGGACGGAATGAACTCAGAAAAATAAGTTGACCAATACACCGTTGCAGGTGTACTCCAAGAAGCGGGCAGTGTCGGATTTTCTTTGATTGTGTGGCTGTGCTCCGGAGTGTTCGCTTTGTTAGGCGCATTATGCTATGCCGAACTTGGCACGACAATCCCAAAGAGTGGAGGAGACTACGCATATATCCACGAAGTGAGTCTATGACTTGCACGGTCTGTAAAGCTGTCTTTTCGGTGTCTGGTCTGCATTCTGCGTGAAAATCCACCACTTCCATCATCAAATGAACTGAATGTCGAAGTCACAAAGTTAATCTTTTATTTGCTGTCTATTATAATATTTCACGGCAAGCTATGATGTGTAACACAATCGCAATGATGCTAAGGTGTTCGCAAACCTTGGACCCCAAACTGAAAGTCGTTGTCATTTGCTTAAGTTCATGTGTATGTGCATCAATGCATGCATCTGTACTGAAATCAGGAGCATCAAACTCATAGCATCGCAATCACATGGATGTTGTAGCTCATGATAGTCAATATCTATTCTTAACACATCGCATCATAGAGTTTCTGAAATATCCACCTCCACTTTTTTATACGTTTTATTTAGGCGATAGTGTCTTCTTGCGCTACCTCACTGCAAGTGATGTTACCTAGCTTAGCAAGGTTTCGGCCCCTTCTAAAATTTCAACAAAAATCCCCGAAGTTGAGTGCACAACTGTCTACTTTCCCTTGCTCACCATCAAAAGAAGGATCAGTGTATGAATTTCACCTTTTTAATAGGTTTTTCAAAAGGTGTATTCACCGGGGTGTGGAAAGAGAGCCGTGACTTTTCGAATTTTATGGTTGCAGGACAAAGTCTCGGGAAGTAGAAGATGTAGAGGAAGTTCAAAACTTCGGATTAATGGCCGCAAGAGAGTGCTTTCCAAAAGATCTCTGTTATTCAATATTAAAACTTTTTACCTACGCTTTAGTAGTCATCTATTCATTCGTAGTTTTTTTTTCATATCGAGTATGCCGTATGCCGAAGTATTGACGTCACTTTGGGTGAAGAGACTGATCACGTGAAAATATAATAAAAGCCTTTGTCAAGCACCATTCTATTTTGCAGAAATGATAGTTAAAGCAAAGTGTTCGAAGACGTATGATGCGTATACGACTCCAGTAGGAGGTGTATAATAAATTCAGTTCTGATCCGTGGTTTCGTAGGCATTCGGTGCGATGCCATCGTTTCTGTTCCTTTGGGTTGAACTGATAATCATCATGCCGACGACGAATGCCATCATTTCACTCACCTTTGCCAACTACGCTCTGAAGCCGTTCTTCTTGGATTGTGAAGTACCATCAATGGCAGTTAATCTTCTGGCTGCCTGTACCATTGGTGAGTGATTCCTTTGGCTTCCTATAACTCTTTTATGGACCAACCAATTCACCCATGTTATACATAGATGTGTTCAATGTGAAGATGAAAAAATAAGCTTATGTACCCAAAACTTTCAACTTCCTTAATAAGCTGATATCTCTCGATATTTTCTTTAATGAAAGAATTTCGGTGTTATAAATAAACTAGTAGATCTGTCTAGAAGTAAAACCATATTCTTAACCCTTTTATTTACTGCCTTTTCTTTTTAATGGCAGGGTATGTTGCGAAATATAACTCGTATATAATGCTGAGATATTTGCAAAACTCCGGACCGCAGGTGTATGCGGTGGGGAACGAACGCGCTATTGTCCTTACCGTGTCGTTGTCCTTGTCCTGCTTTTGTTCTATTGATTGCTGATGGCAAAAGATCAATAGAACTAGCTGAGAGACAGGCAACACGAAGGACCCGTATGGTGTGGTGGTGAAGTGCGCTACTCCCCGGTAAGGACAATAGCGCGCGTTCGTTCCCCACCGCATACATCTGCGGTGCGGAGTTTTGCAAATATCTCAGCATTATATACGAGTTACAAAACCATATTTTTTAAATTTTTGGAAATTTTAATGTTTTGAAAATTATTCTAAAGTCGTTGACTTCTGACTCTTTATTTCATACCGCTGTCGTAGTAGCGTTTATTCCGTGTCAGTTAAACTATAGTAAAGACTAGAAAAATAAAGTGTTCGACGTTGATTAATTAGTATCGGGCGCACCATGCATTCTTCTCCATTCGTAGCATCGTATAGGTAGGCGGGTGAATGCATTTCTGGTCTTGGAGTGCACCACGGTGACCTGGTGACGTATTAATTTTGTGGAGTCTTTATACTTGTACGAGTCACGCAATCATTTTCTGACTCCGGACCAATGTAATGCTTAGTTTGTCTCGAAGCAGCTCCAATAATTTGTTCACTCTTCTTGGTTCATCATATTTCCTTCATGGCATTCAGTAGTTACCATGTCATGTTGGCTTATACTTCCATAGTAAATATTGGCTCATTTTCTCTATGAATGGTACAAGCTTTTCATTTTCTTTTCCTTTTGTCTAGATTTGAGGTGAGTAGAAGGTAGAAGGCATTCCGAGGCCAAATGTCCATGTTGAAGTTTTTTCACTTAGTGAATGGTGTTGATCAACTATAAAATTCTTCACATTGTCGTTTTGGCTTCGAATTTTTTTTCGAAAAAAAAACTTCGAAAAAAAAGAAAAAAAACGAGAAAATTTTTGTTCTCTACTTTTCTAGTCCTTTTTTCTCATGTTCATACTGGTTTTACCAAAAACATTTTAAATGGTATTCTCTGTGTTGTCTCATACCCAGGAAGCATTATTTGATGTGGATTAATTTATTTACTCTCGGCGTCGTCGTTCAAATAAACTGCTGTTTACTCAGGGCTACTCTGACCTGCCACATCTTCGCTACAATTCATTCCAGTAAATGGCACCCAGAATTCTGTTCATCAAGAAGGAAACGTTCTTAGACTGTTGACAAATCCCTGAGGGATGCATCTTGCATTCGACTGTATTCATGCATCTTAGGATGTTGTTGAATGCATTTTTAACCTATAAAAGAACTTACGGATGCTTACCGATGTATCAAATCAGTAAATCCCAGGAGTGAAATTTTCTGATATCCTCGTAATTTTTCAATAAGCTAATGTTTTCGTTTTGAGTAGACACGAGATTCTTAGTAACAGGATTTGTTCAATACTGAATAACGTTTCTGCTGCTTCTCTCTTCCTCAGAGCCTTCTGGAAAACGAAACCGCCGTCAACTAGTATTGAATAAATTTTGTTATTAACAACTTCGTATCTGCTCAGAAAGAAAATACTAACTTATCAAGTCTATTTTCAAACCAACCGTCATTTAACCTCGGTAATGAAATAACCAACATGTTTTTAAATTGGACCACCGATACGGATCATCGGCTCTGATCAAGACGAAGACATCGAAACGTTAGCCGAAACAAACATATTTATCAACCTCGTGTAAGCTCAACAATTTAGAGTCATGTTGATTATCAAGTTAGTGTTTTTATCTTCGCAGACAAGCCTGGTACCAACTTACTGACGCCGAGGTGATAAGGGCTTTGGTTTTCCCTTGCGCAGTCGAGCTGCTGTATTTGTATTCTGGGCAGTTCTAACCACTACACCACACGCTCCTTCTGAAGTTCTATGGTGTTAATATTGTCTTAGGTTTCACAAAAATGGTATAGTGTTATCATTATATCAATTAGATATAACAACTGGGACTAGTTCCAATGTGCTCGTAGCATGAAAGGCGAAATAAAACCATTTTTAAACCTATTCATTTGCGATCCTAAATTTTCTTTGTTTCGATGGGTTTTTGGTTCCCACGCTGGGAAGACAACTCTTATTGTTTGCCGTTTAAAAAAAACGCAGAAAATGGTTACTATTTCATAGAACCTGTTCGTAAGCACTTATAATTCCAAATTGATCACTGCACAATCTCTTTGACGGATCTTCATTTCATTTCATGGATTCTCTCTTAAAATTTATCGTTTAGTGTGAAACTATGGATTGCGATCTATGTGCTTTACCTATTGTGCTAATGAGTAATGAATACCCGTCGTTAGTGTGATCTCGCGCAGTGCTAACCAATTTCCATCCCTCCGCGGTTAGCAGATTGATGTGGAACTTGTCTAGGAGGATTCGAGTCATTGATTTGATATATTGATAGAGCTCCGTAAAAGATGCTATAAGTCGAACAATGCACTCAATCTATTCCACAATATTGCGAATGGAGGAGAATGCACGGCGTATCCCTCAATGATTGGTCAAAGCTGAATGCTTCGTCTTTTGTCCTTCACTAATTGGTAACAAAATTCAATCTCTGTTAAAATGAGGAAGGCTTGAAACGTTACGACTCCAAATCTGTGGAACTGGGATTGAGAGATGGACTGTGTAGTGTTGAGCAAGCACAACCGATTATTCGATTTTTACCTGTGCTGCAACAAAATCATCCAACGTCGCCAAATTGTGCTCTATTCCGACCATTCGTTACGGCTCTATCTACTCTTTCGGCCGCAAAGAGTGGAATGATTTTTCTTTTTTCAAAGAAACTCCTCATTTTTGGAGGGATTACGCGTTTGGTTAACTGGGCGGTAGCGCAGTGAGAGTGATACCGGTCATCCCACGGTCACGTGGGTTCGACCACGCACCAAGCCCACGAATTCTGTCATTCCTTCGGGGTAGAAGAATTGGTACCAGACTTGTCTGGGAAAAATTCACTCTATGCAATCCATTTGGGGACGCTCTTCCCCGGCTATCTCAGGCCTCCGGAGAAATTCTACTCAACCACCGTTCAACAACATTCATTATGAAAGTGAAGTCCTTAAGCAGCAGTCGAAAGCACATATAAGATCGTGGTAGATGGATGCGAAGAAACGAATCGAATGCGAAAAGTGCTGGGATCAGCAGAGTAGGTGTGAAAGACAGGTCGTGTAAAAGAAATGGAATCCATCATCTCATGTAAAAAAGATTCAGGATTTGGAGTATTCACCATTTTCGAACCACTTAATGAAGTCACTGATTTTTATCTTCTGCATGATTCAGTTATTCCTGCATTAGGTTAGCTGGCAAGGAGGCTGGCACTTTAACCACTATGGGAAAACTGGGAATCGACGACTTAGAAATAGAGTGATGTATTCAGAAACACAAATGTCATAGTACTTTTGTACGTTGTACATACAACTCGCGGATATCCATGCTATGGGAGACCTCGAGCAGATTTGTCGCAAGCTTCGTGGTGGTTCCCCAGCTTTCACACAACGAGATAAACGAGCTTAAAAGCGACCCATTTGCGGTTTGCGCAACACAGATGGCTTCGGATGACGGTCTCCATTTCTCAGTTTGTCATGATTGACGTCTAACATTTCCATTCACGTAATTAATTTCATTCATACATAAACAGATCTATAGTCGATTCAGCAGAAACCTGCGCTCATGTTGCTGGGAAGTATATGGGAGACGACTTGTTGTCAATTCTAACTCTAAGAAGATTATACAAGATTACTAATGAGTGTAAGCAACTTTCGGAGAGTTATATATGGACATGTTTTCACCGAAAACGGTTAAGTTGAGGATTGTGGTGGAAAGTGTAGTATTCCTCGTGCTCTTGGTGAAGCCCATGAATGGGCAGCTCTGTCTTGTTCCCATCTATCTGTAATTCAAAAAATAAGAAGTGTTTTGTTCTATCTGTTAATTAAATAAGAAAAGACTGAAAAATCGGGATTCGGTTGGAGATTGCCCTTTAGAATAGGAAAAAATAGGAATACCTGAGTAGGTGAACATGAAAGAGAAAGAATTCGAGCGTGAACAAACCACATCAACAAGCTTTCATTGTTGTCGCACCTTCAGCGCTTCTTACATTTGTCAACTGCTACAATGTTCAATGGGCAACTCGTTGCAACGACTTCTTCACAACCACCAAGGTCGCAGCGTTAATCTGCATCATAGTGTTCGGTGTAGGTTGGTTGATCTTAGGTGAGTTAGTTTTCTTTTCTGAAAACTTATGAAGAATTAGAAAAATTACTTTGTGTCTAAACACTGATTCTTACCGCTATTCGATACAATTGGCTTCTGGACTGATGGTTTTGTAATTTTGGGTGGTTCGTGGATCAAATTCAAAACAGTCGGATCCAGTAGGACGATCTCTACGTGATCATCCAAGATTATATAAGCAGGTTCAAGAAATATGAGGTAATGGGTCCCTCGCTCACGAATGGCTGCCGGATCGTTTATAGTGGAGCACGTATTGGACATCAACGTAAAAACAAATGAAAGAGATATTCAAGAGCTACAATTAACAGGAGGCCCATGACCCATAAACGACTTTATGTGTTGATATCAGTGCATAGGTGAGTAAGTAGAGTGAAGGCATTGATTTCAATACGTATACAACCGATGGCATGTTCAACGCAGGCTTTGTGTGACCAATGATGGCGATGGAAAGCTATTCCCACTCACTATTAATAGTTTGTGGAAATCATTTTTTCCAGACGATTTTGTCAATGAACATTGCACGCGACGAAGCATTAGAGGCATTATGTGTTAAAAAATCTTAACAACACTCTGGTTTTTCCACCATCAATATGAAACATGCGATGGAAGAAGGCTATGGGATTTCACGAAGCTTAGGAACGGCTTGGAAAGAAAATTCTGCTGCTTCTTTAATGAGGAGAACAGCCTCAAAATATAGGGCTGACGAAAAAGTGAGCATCTATAGAGTTATTTTCCTTCTCATTTAAAATTTTCAACTTGATCGACCACTCCAAACAATTCTTGAATTACTTGAAAGAAGAACAACATGCTCGTTGTGTTCTATGTCTACGTGAATGCTTTTGAATAAAGCAGTACCAGTAGTGATATTGAGGCGCAGGTAGCGTAATGGTGGAGACGCCATTCAGTAATTGCAAAACCCTGCTTCGACCGTGCCGCAGACCAATCAATGTTTCCATCCCTTCGGCATAGAGAAATTTATACCAGGATGGTCTTGAAAAAGCACCCTCTGATCCTAAAACGCTCCCGACTGCCCGTGGTGAGTAAATGAGTCACTGTAGCACTGATGTCTAAGGAATGCAGAAAAAATCGACTCAACCAACAATGAACGACATCCATGAAGAGAACCAAGAATCCTCAGTCAGCAGCGGAACCCTAACATGTGTCTGCGGACTTCCGCAGATAATTGTGCAATGAAGCGAATGGGATAAAAAAGTGCCGCGAATTGACGCATAGTGAAATTAGCGTAGTCGGGTCGTTTAAAAAATGGTGATGATTTTCTTTACTCATCTTACCTGTGGTGGCGCTATTCTGCTTAGTGCTTGAGTCCCACATTGACGCAATGTAGAGAAAAGGATAAACGGCTCCACGTTGATCAGTTCCTAAGGGATGTTCCACATATTAGACCACTTTAAATGTCATAAAGATGACTGGATCCGTACTTTTTCTATACATTGAATTTTGAGGACCAGCTGATGCGTGAAATTAGTGTCCTTTTTCCCTCCCAGACAAGTTTGGTACGAATTTGCTAACCTCAGAGAGAATGAGGATTTGATTTGACGTGAACGGATCGGAACCAATGACCATATGTGCATTGCAGGGCACCTCTTGCCACAACTCCACACGCCTTCACCTTCACAGATTGACATATTCGTAAAGAACATGTGTTGCCTTTATCTGGCTGAAATGGAGTATATTATCTGCAATGATTTTGAAGCCTACTTCTCGTAATTCGAATACTTTCAGGCAATACCGAGTATTTTGAGATGCCGGACGTATTGGAGGGAAGTCAGAGGAAAGTCTCATCGCTCACATTCTCTTTCTATGCGGGCGTATACTCGTTCTCTGGCTTCAGCTATTTGAATTTTGTCACAGAGGAACTTAAAGATCCGTACAGGTTTCGATTTATATTCCACTTAGCTATGAGAATCGTGCCATTCACATTATAAATTCCTCTCTATTAGACAGTTTTCAGCCCCGTAATTTACAATTCTTTCCAGAAATTTACCGCGGGCTATCTACATCTCAATGCCTATTGTCACCTTCATATACATTTCGGTGAATGTAGCTTATTTTGCAGTGCTTTCAACTGATGAGGTAAACTGAGGACGACCAATATATTGAACGTTTTATTGCATCAAATAAAATTTCTATAGTTCATTTTGATGCCGTCCAGATTCTCGAATCAGAAGCAGTTGCGGTGTCGTTCGCCAACAAAGCGATGGGTCCACTAGCGCCGTTGATGCCACTCTTTGTTGCGTGTTCGTGCTTTGGATGCTTGAACGGTGTTCTCTTTACGTTATCGAGAATGTTCTTTGCTGGAGCGAGGTAACTAAATCGAATTTATAGTTCTGGGACATTCTTTTTCTCACAGTATGCATTATCCTGAATCTTATCAGCACCTGTTTAAACGACTGATTTGTGTTTAAGAGAGGAGAGAAAATTGAGTATGATGAACTGTGAAACGTGGTGGCGACGATCTAACTCCTCATTTTGTATTGGGTTTCATGAGCGGCTAAGTTTAGTAAAGGCAAGGGATAACTATTTATTTACTTGAGTATTAGGATCACTTATTATTCATCGACTTGTCTTCTACCATTTACAGTTGCTGTTTTAAAAGTAAAAGGAGTAATAATTATCGACTACGTAATCCGCCCTTAATGAGGCCATTACCATTTGAACATTACTATGTAAATAATTTCATTACTGTATTGGTTTACAGAAGTACTTGAAATGAATATCTTGTGTAAGTCCAGATGATCAATAGAATTCCCAATCAGGACATTCAACAGTGTCAATCCGTGAAGAAATCGATTTTCAATTACCATCAATTGCTTAGGTCACAGATGTTTTGAATCCTTTCGACTATCTTGAGTATGCCAGTAACTTTTCCGCATTACAAACGTCATCGGGATGCTGAGATGTAGGCCTATGACCGTAATTGGATTAGAAATAAAGGGTATCCTTTTGGGGCAAAGAATACTATTATTCATTACACGTTCTGTCTTTACACTTACTCTGTAGATCTCAGCATTTCTTGCATTTGAGTCGTTTCCTCCATCCACCCATCCGTGAGGGTTCTCGAACTTTTATTGTTTTCGTTCGGACTCGGCTGCTGCCCGAGGATTTTTCATGTTCGTTTTCAAAGCCACAGAATGCTAGTCGAGTCGATTCCACTTGGAATCATGCGATAACCGTACCTGAGCATTCTCACGTACGTCAGAAGGGCGCATGTAGCGCAGTGTTCGGAGACGCCTTGCAATACACATGGGATCGTCCCACGCTCCACAGGTTCACCACGCCTTCTATCCCATCGTGGTCGGCAAAATATTACCAGACCTGTTTGGGTGGATAGCAGCACTGATTGGATGCATCGGTTAGCCACCGCAGGTCAGTGTAAAGGCCAGATATGCATTCAATCATCTCCAACAATGCCTAGTGAAGTCGAATGTTTGCATCCCTCATGGATTGATCAACGTCGAGAGCTTTATCCTTTCTTCTTTGTATCTTGACAAAACTTTTACATATACATATATGTTCCGCATTACATATATACATATTTGTGCGTATATTAGATCCTGGGGCGTTTAGCGAAGTCCTGGGAGGTGCCCTGCAAAACACGTGGAATCGATCCTCTAGCCCATCCCATGGCCCACCAAGCCTTCTATCTCTCCGGGGTCGGAAAATTTTCACCAGACTTATCTTATAGGATAGCAGCACTGGCTCTATACATCGGTAGGCCACCGCGAGTCATTGTAAAGGCCATACATGCATTCAATCACCTCCAGACGATGCTTAATGAAGTAGAATGCATGGGGCATCCCTCAGAGGTTGTTCAACGCCGAGAGCCTTTTTATGCTAGTTTGCGAAAAACACCGAGTATGTCACGAAATATTTGACAATGAAGAGTTAATCGTAGTGGTGGACCTAGTTTTTCGAAACACTTCCAGACGACTCGCAACCTAGGGAATCGACGATGAACTTTACTGTGCATTTTATTTTGACATTCAGCTGTGTTTTCTTACCAAATGGAAACTTACACAGTATTATGGTTTTTATTAAATTTAAGGGATGGTCAGTTGCCAAGATTACTGTCAATGATTTCGATCGACTATTTGGCGCCGACACCATCGCTTCTGTTCAGTGGTGGTTCGTAATATTTTTATTTGAGTTTTATCATTCTGTTGATTAGCTTTTTGCAGCGTCATCGATCGCGATGCTATTTTCCGCTGATGTCCTGGTTTTGATTAACTACTGTGCGTTTTCGGAAAGCCTTGTGGTAGCCGCGTCCGTAGCTGGTCTTGTTAAGCTGAGGCTTACACGACCAGATGCTAAAACTCCGATCAAGGTACTGATTAGCTAGAAAGAACCTCTTAGATGAAAAGTGTTCACTAGTGATATTCTGTTTCAGTTTAATATCTGCATACCGCTGATATTCCTTTTCCTATCCTGTTTATTTTTTGTGTTGCCGTTTTTCGACCAACCGATTGAATTGATGGTGGGCGCGGCGATTGTCCTGTCCGGAATTCCTGTCTATGTTTTGTTTGTGATGAATAAGAATAAACCGGCATTTATCGAAGTTCCATGGAGTGAGTTCATCATTCTATACACACAAATGAACAGAGTGTGCAATTGTGCCATTTTGGTTCCTTGTGATGCGGAAAAAAATGTCTGGAAAGTTGCACACCAATCAATCAATGCCTTTGTATGAATTGGTATCCTAGACAAAGTGGAGACTAATCATTTAGTGTTGATCATGACTAAAAGATCAATACTATGTTTTCATCACCTCTTTTTCAGTTTGGTTCAATCATCTCGTTCAAAAGCTGCTGAATTGTCTGCCAGAGACGGAGGCAGGCGAAAAATAAATCTAAGGAATAAGAAGCTTTTCATGGATTCTTAGACATTATCTAATGTCGATGACAAGTAGACTCTACTAGTAAAACCGCTTAATTTAAATCGAATTTAACTGAATTGGATCGCAGATTGGAACATTGTGGGTCGATGAATCAATACAGCTCCACTTTGTAACTTGACGCTGCTTCTTAGCACTATTCGTACTGGAATTCACTGCATATCTATAGACTGCTCACTTTTCCGGGTCGATCGATATCGAAGTCGATGTTGTGAATCGATTTTTTATGGCTGCACTTGGTTTTTTGCTCTATTACTCTTAATGCTCCTCTGCAAAATAGCGTCCTTCATTGATCTGTTATTACTAACTAGCTGTGACTATCGACCATTTTCTCGAAGCAATCTCTGCCCTAATTTGTAAATGCTTCTCTATTGCTCTACTGAGCCACAGCGTATCCGCCATGCAATCCGTCCCGTCTGCCATATTGTTGTTATTATTTGTGATCATTCAATATACGGTGATAATTTTCATGTCTGTCTCTGACTACAAACGTCATTCTGAATTGTAGATTTTTTTTGTTTTAACTGTTTGATTAACAAGTATCGATCGGGCGAACTGTAGAAAGAGAATATCCTAGCAAACGCTACAACTTCCAAGACGGTAAAGCTCGATCCATGGGGCATGTGCCGTGCATTCGATTCCATTCATAACATCTTAGAACTAAATGGACACATGTTTGACCTACACATAACTTTCTGTAGCATGTCACGTCAGTGCTGCTGTCTTCCCAGGTAAGTGTATCAATTTTTCGGCTCCACAGCGATAAAAACCTTGCTGGGTCCGAGTCGCGGGGTTGATCCGACGACGTTGTGTGCACTGCAGGGCACCTCTAACCACTGTGTTACATACGTCCACGTTGTTTTTCAGATAGTTTCGAAATAGGTTTATTTCAATTGAGAAAAAATATGCTATAAATAGTAATTTGTAGTAATAATAATTCAACAGAAAACTGAGGACGGTCACAACGTTAGTCACCCGTTTTGTACTAGAATACACATGAATAAGATCATGCCAATTGACTATATTACTTAAGACAACGGCAGTTATCGAAAAAAAACCACTTCTATAAAGTTATCAGAATTCCAAAACTATATCTAGTCGTGCTAACATTGGAAGACTAACTAGAAAGACCGACTTTCTATAAACCTCGGCATAGATAGTTGGTATATTTATTTATGTGATCTTATAAACTGATCTTCTTAAGCTGACACGAGGTTGGTACAGATCTTCGTTGTCGTTGTCGTTGTTTTTGATGTTATTGATCGATGGCTGACGTTTCGGCGACTTCGTCCTCCTCAGAGCCTGGACGTATTTCATGTTAGAATACTTTTTATTATTCGGTGGAAAAGAAGGTTAAAGTATTAATGAAGATCAAACTTTCAAATAGACTCCACATTGAACAGGAAGGCCACTCACCGTGATGTTACGTGCGGGACTGGCCCACACGAAGTTCACGTGGAGTCGCGAGCAAGACACGCCCCGGGGTCAAAATATCATTTTGAAATAGGGCGCCAGGTCACGCGTGGTAATGAGGCATTCGTCCTTCCGGTTCATCTTTGGATCATTGAAATTTATTCAAACGCCTCAAGAGTTCTGCGTGTTGATGTTTTCGATTCCTGCCCTAGGATCCGCACATTCACTTCAAAATCATCGCCGTTGTGCTTTTGTGCCCTATGCGTACCTAGAGGGGTGTTTAAATGGATTTTAGCTCTTCCATTTAGATGTTCTTTTATGCGGACACAAAGTGGTCTACCCGTCTCCCTGATATATTCCTCGCCGCATGCATTACTATCACGCGTGACCTGGCGCCCTATTTCAAAATGATATTTTAACCCCGGGGCGTGTCCTGCTCGCGACTCCACGTGAGCTACGTGTGGGCCAGTCCTGCACGTAACATCACGGTGAGTGGCCTTTCTGTCCAATATGGCGTCTATTTAAAAGTTTCATCTTCATTAATAAATTCATTCTAACATAAAATACGTCCAGACTCTGAGGAAGGAGAAGTCACCGAAACGTCAGCCATCGATCAATAACATCAAAAACAACGACAAAGACAACGAAGATCTGTACCAACCTCGCGTCAGCTTAAGAAGATCAGTTTATAAGATCACATAAGTAAATATATCAATTGGAAGACTAGTTCTTATTCCATATGATTACTAGGGGCAAACTCTAGGTTACTTTCGCTAGGAGATGATTCAATTGCTGAGCTTTGTTGCTCACCGTTAACTCGTCCAACGAGATCTCGTATGGTACGAGTTGACTCCTCTATGAACGACCTCATTGCTCGGTACATTTGAGCTTGTTCCTCGAAAGCAATACGTTGAGCCTGATGAAATCTGATTTTATTCGAATCTAATTAGAACTAGATTTGGCAAGGCACATTTGAAAACTTCAGTTTAAGTTCTGTCAATAAAGGATAAAGGATAAAGCTCTCGGCGTTGATCAATCTCTAAGGAATACACCATGTATTCGACATCATTAAGCATGGTTTGGAGATGATTGAATTCATATTTGGCTTTTACAATGAGGCACATTTGAAAACTTCAGTTTAAGTTCTGTCAATAAAGGATAAAGGATAAAGCCCTCGGCGTTGATCAATCTCTAAGGAATACACCATGTATTCGACATCATTAAGCATGGTTTGGAGATGATTGAATTCATATTTGGCTTTTACAATGACTCGTGGTGGCCTACCGATGTATCGAGCCACTGCTGCTATCCTCCCAGACAAGTCTGGTACCAACTTTCCGATCCCGAAGAGATGGAAGGCTTGGTGGGCCATGGGTGCAGAGATCGATTCCACGTGCGTGTTGCAGGGACTCTCCGACCACTGCGCAACACACACCCTTTTAGGTTCTGTTACACGATATAAATTCTTTGCCTTCGTTATAACAGTTTACAATGAAGGTATCTTACTTTAATCATTTCGTATTGTTCGTTGATTATCGATAATTGACGACGACCTGTTCGCTTTCGTTTAACTGGTTGCACATTCTCAGACGTACAGGACGAGTCGTCGCTTTCAATCTGCACATCGATCAATACAAATCAAGGCGTAAAAGGCATGAAGATACATGTCTGCTCCAAACAGTTTTGAGTGCAAAAAGTAGGATATTGATATTATTTTGAATCTTGCTCTTTGACTGCTGATGGCACTGATAAATAGAAAACTAGTTGACAGAAACGCATAGCGGGGGGCTCGATGGCGCAGTGTGTAATGCGCGAGCCCCGGAAAGAGAAATCTGGTCCGGGGTCTAAGTTTTGTAAACATCTCAGCATCGTTGTGGTTTATTTGGAATCTCTTCATTAATGATGACTAAGGACTTTTTCCTACATGGTCCGACATAACAAACTGCGCTGATTCCATAGTTCTTCCATTGATCCGTTCTCTCCCACCCCTCATCTATGAAAGTTTTGAAGTTTGCGCAAAGGTTTAGCAACTGCTTGATGAATTTGGTGCTCTTTGTAAATGCCGTTGAATGCTGGCCGTTGGCCTGGAAAAATGGCCAAGACAATTGTGTCTGGAATCCCTAGATAGCTCTACTAGGCCGCCCCAAGGTCTTCATCACAGGCAGCAACTTCGCGATTGTGGATCGGATGGAACCATTCCCGAACAAGTCTGATACCCATTCCCTGACTCAGCCAGAAGTGGATGGCCCGATGTGGGGTTGGGTCAAGAGGTCACGTATGCTAAATGACATCCCTACTACTATGCTATCCACACCCCTGAAGAAAGATTTGTATATAATTAGCAGAAATTGAAAGCAATAATATAATATAACAATATAATAAAAAAAAGGGAAAATGTAATGAAAACGGAGTAGAATAGAAAAAGGAAGCAATTAAATAAAATAGTGAAAATTGTGTTGAGGACACGACGGAGAGGATTTTATTAAAACAAAACAATGAAAAACGGCATACGTGATCAGATTTTGAGGCCCTCTTTTCTTGTGTTGAAGAAGCCGCTTTTATCGAACTAAGAAGACGTTGGATGTCGAAAATGTTATTGCATTCTTGGAATGATTGTTCCTGGAAACCGTTCAATACGAGTAAACTTGTGGAAACAGGAGAAATAGTAAGATGTGACCGCAAGGAATCAGTTCCATTAAGACAAACCGCACTGGTTACACAAAAGTAGTGATATGATGCTTCTAGCTACTTGTTCCTTTCTATTCATTTTGTAATTCGTATGTAATTTATTACACTTCACTAGGGATGTCTTAAATCAGATTGTATTAAGAGGATGTTTTCAAAAGAAAATACGTATATAACCATATTCATTGTTCATCTACAGTTGTCATACGTCTCTCACCACATACTTTTTTATTACCATCTATGTTACTATTATACTAAATATTTATATGTATTATTTTATATTGTGCTTTATTTTATTATATTTTCATACGGTTTACCGGCCTCATCGTGGCTGGGAGGTGTTCTGGGTGTTGAGCTGCGATGTACAGCGGAAGCTTTTATCCCTCTGGCAGGGTCCCATGGTGGCAAATCCCCTTCTGATCCACAAGGGCTGCGACTGCCTGTGATGGTGAAGACCCGGGGCAGACTTTGCCCAGGCTGACCTTGGGCGTGAACCACAATGGCTTAACCAGCAAATCTGCGAAAAAAAGATCGAGATTACGCTGGGGACCACACAACTAGTGAAGGCGAGCTACTCAAGTATCAAGTATACTTTCATAAATTATCCATATTCCACATCTATATCATCCATATAATTTTTCCCTCATGGTTGTACTCATCCGATTAACGGCAGTAACAAAAACATCCATTTATCACACCAATGTACTCGTCCAAAGAGACCATTCCATCACTTTGGAGTCAATTTGGAGTTCTTTGCGTCCAACTGCAAGAGTCGCCCAGTGGATTCTGCTCGCTCTAGGGACTCGTTGAGCACCATATCTTTTTTCTTGGCTTTTCATGAATAACTCTGGCCATAAGGTCGGTAGTCTTCTCATAATGCGTTTAACATCCCGAGGAATCCAGTCACTAACGGCTCTTGCCCATCGGTTGTCAATTCATACGCATTACGTGTCCGGCCCACCTTATCTTCGACTGTTTGACGTACGGAACGGCATCTTCGATTATCGATCGTTGATGCATATCGGAGCTTCGGATCTCATCCCTTACTTGTGTGAAACGGGATACTCCTATAGTCCTTTCGACAGCGCGTTCGATAACGCTGAGTGATCTTTCACGCTGCTTACGCAGCGACCAGGTTTCTGACGCATAGGTTAGGGCAGGAAGTACTGATGAGCCGAAGAGGTGGGCACGGTGTCTGGTGTTTTTTGTTTTCTCCACTACATCCCCGATGCTCTTGAAAGCTCCCCAAGCCGCTCGTTTCCTTCTGCTCAGCTCTGGAGCTAGGTCATTCATCATACTGATATCCTGACCTAGATAGACATAACTGGAGCATTCGGAGATATTCGTTCCGTTGAGCTTGAATGAGGCATACGAAACCAATACGTTCTTCATGAACATTGTTTTTGTGAGATTTAGTCGAAGACCAATCTTTCCACAGGCTTTATCAAAGTCGTCAGGCATACGTTACGCTTGGCTAATGTTTGGTGTTATAAGGACGATGTCATCAACAAGGGGAAGATGGTGTGAGTGCTGGCCATCGATCTTCACTCCCATATTATCCCATTCCAATGTTCTCTTGACGTTCTGGTAGGTGGTGGTAAATAATTTTGGCTAGATAGTATCGCCTTGCCTAACTCCTCTTTTGACGTCAATGTTAATATCATTGTAGAATGGTGATACCTTGGTCGTGAAATTTCTGTACAGCCCACGAAGGATCTTTATGTAGTGAGCAGGGACTCCTTGACTATTAAGGGCTTCCATGACTGCTTCGATTTCAGTTGGATCAAAGGCCTTCTGTAAATCGATGAAAGTGAGAGAGAGCGCTCTTTCGTATTTTCGCGGTATTTCAATGAGCCTTCTTACCGTGTTAATGTGGTCCATCGTAGTAAATCCTCGATATCATAGATAGAATAACATTCGAAGTCCGAACTGTGTATTTCGACCACATGGTAGGTGCGTGTGGTCATATTCAGAAGTCATCGTTCAAGCGCTCGATGCGCAATGTAGGAAATCCTCATCGTAGTTGCATTTCACCCATGTTCTAATATATTCCAGAACATAAAAGTGTCAATGACTCAAATTGGGTGAAGTTTTGATTCTGTCAGATTGGTCGTTGTCATCGCTCAAAGGCCTAAAAGCGGATTATGTCGCACTTCTTCCACACAATTCGTTCTTAACGTCGTTTCTCATGTTAATAGAATCACTCAGTAACACGAAGTATACGGACTGTATAATCAAAGAACCACATATATCTTTCTATTGACCTACCGGTTTCTATGAGCTAAGCTTTATTCCGACTTATTTGCATTCTTGCCTTCTCCCCCACTTTGTTAAGTCCTTTAATCATCGTCTCAAGTTCATTGTACTCCTAGAAAACGATGCCCTTAGGAAATGAAAGATCGCTAAGGATTTCTCATCACCGGTTGATTAATTATAATCCATCATCCACTGTGGCTGTGTTTTCGTACTATAGTAATGAAAACGGTCTGCTGGAGTTGTTCCGCGCCCTGACGCTGACAGGTACACCCAGGACCGACTTTCTATTAACCTCAGCATTGGAATATGAATTCGTCGTTTTCTTGTTCATCATACATATATGTATATTAATATACCCTTCCAGGCTATGAAGAAGGTGATACTGCCGAAGCGTCAGCTACTGTTGTATTGTATGTGTTTTTCTATGGAAGCAAATGTATGCTGTTTAACAACCTCGTGATTGCTGACAGGTTCATTTCTTGATCGACGATCGCTGACATGATGGTGTTTGTTTCGACGCTGTTGGACACTTCTTCGTAGTCGGGAAGGGCAGGAAAAGAGAAAGTTCGTACAACAAAAGAACTTCTAACATTATAGCTGTGGTTTGGATCTAAGCAAAAGCTTCTTCAAAATCTTGTTTTCGAATAATTCTTATGCACGTCATGACAACATTTTCGGAAAACCTGTAAGGAAAAACAAGAATTCAAAAGGCAACTCTATCTATGCAGCGTACCATAGATTGTGTTGGCACTGTTCTCGCATTTGAAACAGGGTTGATGGCTGGATCAGTTTGTGCTTGATTCTGAGCCTCAACAGCACATTCGGCTGCGATTCGATCGAGCACCTAAACAGCACATATTCTTGAATAAAATCAAATGATTAAACAACAGATTCGTTACATTAGATTTCATATTGTATAAATAAAACTCCACTTGAAGTTCAATGTGACCAACATCTACTGTTAAATGAACGATGTTTGTAAGTTTGATGAACATAAGAACATAGAAAGAATTTATCGCTGATGCCTAGATGATGGTTGATGTTGCCTCCCGTTAAGAAAATGTTCGGAATGGAACTGGAACTGTTTACATTCTAATGGTTCAACGTCGACTTCGTACGAGAATGGGGTATGGCAATCAACGAGAACTTTTCTGCTTGCTTTCTGCGTAAGGTCGTATGCTACAGTGAGGCTGTGAATCGTTTCAGTCTATTTTCATTCACTTGAAAAACTACTTTCTGCAATCTGGCTTTTCCCATTTGGTCCGGTTTCAGCATCTCTCAGAATATTATGCCATGCGAATTCCACAGGAATCAGTTTCAATCGTGTGCGTTGATTTTGCCTCTGCTGATGGGCACTGGTTGGTTGGGAGTCAAAAGGCTTCACACGTATTATTCTCATTTAACATTCAACTCTTGCCTACAGTAGTGTTTTCGATAGGAAAATCTTACAGATGCAGGCTAAGTAATGAAAATGGGTATATACTAAGTCACTTGGACTAGCCGTGGTCAGTCACAACGTTGGATGTCCAAAGAGACTTCAATTTATGGCTCACCAGGTTGAAGCTATGCTCAGTGGTGATACGAGCGAAACCAAATACCTCCAAGTGCTACTCTGTGCACAGCTTCTACTCCCCCATAGGGTACCTCTATTGAGGATGATCCAGAGAGTGACAGCTATTCGTAACTCACGTCGAACTCATCTAAAACGCTTGAATCGAAAAAGCGTCATCCGTTCGAAAGCGACAATTGGAAATAGTTCGTAGTTTTTTAAAAAAAAAAATAGTTTTCTTAGCGGTTATCAATGCACTGATGAAGAAGGTGCAGCACTGGTGCTAACAGAACACAATGGTTCGAAATTGTCGATCGCCATCATCCATTTCGATATCAATTTCCCCGTTGTGCACACACCCTTTTATATCTTTGCTGTGGAACGTTCCAGAGCACATTTTAACAAAGCAGAAACCGGTTTGAATGTGAGAAAAAGAGCTTCGAACAAAAACTGGCGAGGGCTTACAGTACGGTTCAATTGATCATAAGATAAAATCCGAATCGCTTCACAATATGCTCTAAATGGGGCTGTGAAGTTCCTCAAAGAAGTGAGCATTGACACAGGCGCCACTACACCAAATCTAACGTAGAAGCGGCGTAGCAGCACGCCTTATATTTCTCGCGCTATGTGTGTACATTGAAATTAGTACATGCGCACACTCTGCTAACCTAGGTATTCACTGAAACCACTGCATATACGGCCATTTTGCGTTAAGGTTGTGGTCAGTACTAAATATAATTGCAAAGGATCAACGGTATGGCATGAAAATACAGAACTGGAACAGCTCGTATAATGGAAAGATAACGGCTTAGAAAGAATAAAGGGCATTTTTATGAAAGAAAAACAGTAAAGAGGACCATAAGCAGAAAACGGCACACTATCAACAGGCACATAATTGCGTTGCAGTATTAAAATAGTCTGGTGGAAACCGACGAAGTCGGCTCATGTATGTCAGTCGCAAATTGTTGAATACAAAACAGGAAGCGATTATCCACTGCAGCTACATGAGTTGCTCAGCGTTATCGTGACTGAGCACTTCTGTCCATGAAGCAATCCGTGTTTTCAAGAAGTGTCGTCCTCACTTTCGTAGTCAACACCTCTTCAGAATCCCTTCATGAATTATTCACATCGTCGTATGTTGGAAGTTCGTATTATGTCTAAGTGTTAGCGTCTGTATAATAGAACTAAAAGATTTTTAAGAAGAATAATGCATTCATTCTGGATTGATGTGTCCTCTACGGATTTGCCATGCATCCTCCCCTGTGTAGCTCATACTATTGATTTTCGTGGACCTAGCGAAGTAAAAAATTGGTGTTTGATATCCTCTAAAACAAATATGACACAATTTTCAATTACTAATCTAATGCCTATTTTTGTCCTGGCAGGGACGATGTGAAATACAACCACAAGGATTCAGAGATATGAACAAAGTCGAGACCCCAGGTATTTGAACCCGTAAGTGTACCACCATAGTATACCATGCTATACAAATCTGGTACTAATTTGCGGACCGTGGAGTGATGGAAGATTTAGTTTGCAGAGGCGAAAGGTCGAATAGTGACCATGTTTGTTATGATCAGAGCTTCAACCCACTCTTCCGTCAACGATTAATAAAAGACCCAAAGTGTTTGTAACTCACACTTGTGACGGAGTCATCAATTCGAATACTAGGAGATGCGGCAACCCGCTTCCGAAATGACAAATCAAGCTCGTCGAGCCGTCGACTGCTTGGTGAGCGACATCGTGGCGGCACCTCTACGTAAGCACGAGCGATAGCGATCTCATAGTCCGTCATGAAGCCTTTTCGTGCTGCGATCACATCCTCAAGAGTTACTTCCGTATTGGATCCGAGTCTGTAGTCAATTAAAATGTTATAAGGGCAAAGAATTTAGGAATAGCTGAACTGAAATCCAAATAGTCTCAGCAGAAAAGAAGACCTACTCATTCTTGTAGCTGTTATGCACTTTATGGTTGTAATGTAATCTAGTTACTAGATGGATCTCTTTTCCACGCATGAAGAATAAATAAGAGCGTTTTTGAACAATTTTCTGAGTTTTTCTGAGTTTGCTCATCCTCACGAGGTACTATAAAGTCTACACCTATGGCAATGAATGAATTTGTCCAACAAACATTACGGATGCCTGCTGTAGTTATTAAATGAAAAATCATTTCCATTTGTAGGACAAAACCTTTGATCATTTGGTAGTCTTGAAGAGTACTCACTTTTCAATGTTCAGTATATGTCGCACGCGATTCTTCTGATGTCTCCAGACACGTTTAATTTGTTCCAGACGAAGTTTTCGTTGGCAACGGGTCATCGTCGCCATGTGAACTTCGTCCCATGCTTCTGCCCTTAAATAAAAGATAGATTGGTTTAAGAAGAACATCGTCAAGAAGGAATGATGAGATTTTAATCACTTGTTAATGATATGGTGAGTATGCTGCTTGACGATTTTTTCCCCACAGATGCTTGGAACTGCAGAGTAGGTGCTCGTGAGAAAAAAAAACGTATCATTGAACGGCGGAGATATCATTGTAACAACATTGAAGCATGGAGAGAACGATATTCGGAAACAGCCAGCTCAACACTTTTTTCCAGTTTTTCTACGCTTTCAAAGAAAAATTCAGAAAGTGGCGCCCCTTTTAACCCATGTTGTCCCGTATGGACACTAAAGTGTCCATAGAGAACTTGACCAAACGACCATATGGAAACTATGGTGTCTATACTGAGTTCAGTGGGTTCCAGAGTCTTTTTTTAGTCGCACTATGCATACTCATTCCATATATAATCGAACGCAGATCAAGATAGTAGAAGTGAGATAAGAAAAATGATTTTCTACACTAAACGATTTACAAAATCCCTTCTTTCCAACAAGTTCAATGGCCGATAATTTGACCGCCAATTAACTGCACCTTCATTTGAATCGCTACGGTCACCGTATAAAATGTGTGAACATAAAAAAACACCGATCTGGAGTAAATATTGGGTACGAAAGACTTGAAAATGCTGCAGCAATACATTTATGAAATGTACCACAGCAACCCGTAGTAAGTACATAAGACTCATACCCAGAGAACGATAAAACAAAGTAATTTTGAAACTGACCGTTATTCAACCTCGGTAGTAAAATAATCAACATGTGTTTACAATGTTGAACTTACACGAGGTTGATAAAAATGCTTATTCGGCTAACGTTTCGACGGTTTCTTCTTCTTCAATGCTGACGATCTAAGTCGATGGTCCACAGCTTCATTGGATCTGATGAAAACGGAAGCGTGGGAACGTTCGCCGAATAAACGTCTTTATCAACTTCGTGTAAGCTTACCATTATAAATACATAAAACAAAGTATCCTCTAGAATTCTGCCGTATTGACAACCTCTAAGGCACTCAAGTTGTTGAAAAATTATTTTTTTTACCGTCAAAAAAAAACAGGAAGTCCGCAGCCGACGAAAAATTGCTCGTAATCGGTTTGGTATACCATGAAATACGGTAACGAGGAGTCATAGATAGGTGTTAACTGTACAGTACCGAACAATAATCTTCACCAGCGCGATTTCGAATATTTTCAGTTATCCGCAAAACAGCAAGCAACTTTTCTGAGAGTAACCATCCACTCTTTACTTTTCTTATTCTTACGCGTGAATAATCAATTTAGGCAATAAGTAATGTCACCTCAATTTCCAATGCTTATTTTTTCACATTTCTCCTATTTTTGATATTCATGAAACAAATCCCCTTGACGGTCAACCAATGTATGAAGGTCCTATGTGTCAATGGAAAATATCACTACGTTGCTCTAGTATGGTCAACCAAACTGAGGAGAAGCTCGAAGTCTGCATCTGAAATTCTAACTAGGAGCAAACTTGTGTCAGAAATCGCCGCGATTATGGAAGTAATCTAGTCGTAAGTGGTTAACCACTCTTTAATTCATGTACGGACGGCGAATGTCTAGTATGACGACAACGTAATTTAATGGAACGATAATTAATCATTGCATTACAGCGAGAAAATTTCTTGTCCATCAAGAAAAATTTCAACTAATTGGAAATTAGAATCATGGGAAGCTCTTATGATTCTTTCTGAAGATGGGCTATCCACGTGCCAGAACCTTATAAATAAATCTCTTGTTCTCGCTGATCTTCACCTGCATCAACTTTTACTTCATCAACAATCGAAAGACTCCGTTAAGCACCTGTAAGATCTCTGTCTGGCCGTATCGCACGTCGCAGCTGCTTAACAAGCTTTAGTAGTTCGAGGAACATGAAATAACCACATGTTTCTACGAGGTTTTTTTTATTTTTCTTAAACTGTTTGTTACCTATAGAAATGACCACGGCCGGCTCTCGTCGAGCGCTCTCGTATAGTTGACCACACATGAGTAGCTTCCCGATCACTCCTGGAGCGTACAACGTGGTAGGTTGAATGCGGCCTCGAACGAACGACTAAGTACAACGCCGTCTTACATTCACGTACTCACTACTCATTCACCACCAAGAGAACAGGATACGTAGACTCACCCAGCTTGTTATTTCCCATATATAGAAACTTTGTGATCCCCGCATATATCACGTTGCTTGAATTCATTGAACAGCTCTGACAAGCCCCTCACATGTTGATTTAAATAGCCCACAATCTTGGACTGTAGTGCGCAATCCATAGCTGGGACATCGTATAGAATGAGTTTGAAATGAGCCATGAGGCTTCGGTTTGGCATGCAGAAGAACTATTCTATTATAAAAAGTACAATTAAAACTTTTCTGCAATAATAGAACAATACAATAGATAATTTTGTAAGGACGCCCAAAAGTAGCTTACATGTATTTTAGGCATTTTAGATTAACACTTAAAACGCCGATTATCGCACACGCAATTCCTCACTGCATGACCAGCGTGCAAAATCAAAATGGTGTTGTGCTGTAACTGTTCTCATTCCGCCGTTTTACTTCTTCACGAGACATTCTATCTACTAATCACTTAACTTTTCAAAAATCCCACTATTCCTACGAGGGAGCGGGTAACGCAGTGGTAGTGATCCCGTTCGCTCTGCGGACGGCTCAATCCAAGGAGACCCCGCTTCGACGCAGCTCCGGGCCAACCAAGCCTCTCCACCTACCATGGTCTGAAAAATGGCATCAGACTTGTCTGAGAGAAGCAAACTTTGCCTTATCTACGGGAGAACGCTCCATGACACCTATTTCTGGATAGACTAGAATTCGACTACATTCGTGACGAAAACGAAAAATCCTTTCAGCAGCAGCTGAAACTACATGCAAAAGGTTCGATGATCGTGGATGTTGCATGCGAGAAAACGAATCGAATGCAAGAAGTGCTGGGATCCGCACAGTGAGCAAGATGTGATGTCGGGCCATGTAGTAAAAAATAGTAAATTTCTATTAGCAAAGTCAACATTATTTTATCAAAGTTACTCAGTGTATTCTTCATAAAGAAGAGAGCAACACCCTTCCGCTATTTGCTTATATGAAATAAAAGCAAACATTCACCAATCGACTTGTTATTTTTGCCTTAAGAAATAAAAGAATAAGTGTTCCGTGTTGACCAATCCTCTAGAGGTGTGTCAAGCATCTAGCTCCACTATGTAGAAGCATGGACGCAATTTTATCCCATATGTTGACTTGAACGACCAACCCCAACGACTACATATTTATTGCAGGGCACCCCTAACCAATGCGCCACTCGTTCCCATATTAAGGGATGTCAGCTTCTAACATAGAAAACAAGTAAATAACATATTTAGAATTCTTCTAGCTCGCTTGTTTTAAACTGGTGTAGGACACCCGACCTATGAGATGTTTGATGTCCAGGAGTAGATCGCAGTGCTCCTCAAGCACGCCTCGTTACTGCGTAGATGAATTCAAAAGTCACTCTCCTCATAGCTTTGTTGTTATGGCTTATCATATCATCTCTGTTCGGAGAGCAGTGCTGTGAAACACGTTATGACTCATGTGATTCGTCATAAAGAACTCCGTCGTAAAAAAGGATGACATACGAGAGCGAAAATGAGAATATGAAGTCATATAGACACCAATGTTAGGTGGATATTTCTGTTCAAACAAGTAGCGTAATCGAAAGAGTAGGAGCGGAAATGAAAGGATATGGAAAAGATCAGGAAAGATGCGACTAATTTAGCTTATCAGTCTTAGGTGGAGGAGATGAGGACACTGACGAGCTCTATCATACCTTTTCCTGTTGATCTCCGTTTCTCGTGTACTGCACATATCCAAGAGAATTTCACGTCGTTTTAGGACTTCTTCGCATATCACAACCGTATGGTCTTCAGTCATTCGTGATGGGTTTTTATCGTTGGACTGTTCATCTTTTGACGTCACTGTACCGCTCTCAGTTGTGCAATGTGGACCATGACGACTCTCAACACAAATCCCTTCACGTTCATCATCATTCATCGCAACTAAACAGTAGTAATATACAATTCATAATACTATTTAATAAGGGAGTATACAACTCTCAACAGAAAGCAACTCAAGTTTGATCTACACCGGACTGAACTATGGTAGGTTCCGCAGAGAGGTTTTTCAATAACAAAGAATAACATACATATAAGCTTCACTCCAATCGATAGCAAAAAACACTTTCCCGATATTTCCACGAAAAAACAGTAACGTGGATTCAAAGTTCTCGAAAAATCTCCTACATAGTTGAACGAACCCTTACAAATCGTTCACATAAAGTGCTCTCGAAAACATTTCTGCGCCTTCATGATATTATACGATCATCTGTTAGTCTTTGGGGTACTGTGGTAAAATCAAACAATAGAAAGGCCTAATAAACGAACTGAAGTTACTGGAAAGTTGGATGGTGTTTGTTGGGTGAAGGACGACGATGTCGAGGATGAGCTGAGTTCATACTCTACTCGTCATAAGTGGGTCGTTAAGTGCTCAATTCTGACGAGGAATCGAGTGGAACGTCGAGATGTCACCACATCCACAGCGATGGGGTTGGACATGACACGAGTGGCGCGGGTGACGATAGCTCGACGCCGCGACCGCCGGCTGCGGCAGCGCAAACACGGCGACGACGACGGTGACGGCGCTGGTCGTCCGTCTGCGACTCGTCGACGAGAGCACCCTCCCGCCATTCCCTTCGTCCGTCTTCCTCGCGACGCGGTCGAGGTCGCGACACTCTCGTCGCTGTCGACGGCGTCGCCGCCTGTCCATCATGGACGTCATCCGCTAGCGACCGACGTCATCGACTCGGTTCACGTCATGACAATCATTCCCACACGCAAAATATGACACAAGTGCGATCACGAAATGGATATACTGCTGCTGGTCGGCGGAGTTCGATTTCTGGGTTACCTTACACTCTAAACAAGAACTTTTATAAATCAAACCAGTATGCTCGACTTACGTCATCCGAACAAACTCATTCCAGCGTTAGTAAATTGGTAGCAGTCTGGTCTGTATAACGATAATGCAGACTAGAGTCTTTAAACTGACCTAGATCACGAGTTACTTGCCTGGCATGAGTACCCTATGATAACTGAATTCTCTGGAAGTGCCTTTTTTCATAGGAAAGGCTTCAGTTAAGATTTATGAATCTAAGTGTAACATAAAATCAAGAGGACGAGAGAAGCTAGAGACACTGAAAGTTGAGAAGTTGGTTCTATTGGGATAATGTCAGGCCATATGAGCACGGAACCGACTCTCAAATCCACACCTTATATTTGGTTTCTTTTTTCATTATATCACAAACCAAGTGATAAATGATGGATAACAAAATGATGAATAAACCAATACCGGGCTCCACCATCGTCCTAGTATCAAATTTATCGCGTGGTGGCAAATCTCTCCTGATCCACAAGGGCAGCGACTGCTTGTGCTGGCGACGACCTGGGGCAGACTTTGGCCAGGCTGTCCTCGGGACTCCAAGGAAGTACCATGAATAAACCAGAAAAACTCCGAAGAATGGAGAATGTGCTGAGGCCCGCACAACTAGTGAAGACGGGCGGGCCATCCAAGTATTCAAGTAAGTTAGTATTGTATCGCAATACTAATGAAAAGCTGTTTCATGGTGTATCATGTGAAACTATTCCAAAAAAGTTTTACCGAGAAAGAAGGAACGATATGATCACTTTTTGTGGAATAATATCGGATATAGGGTTGGAGAATAAGTTCACAGAAAGAATAGAATCGATGGGAGTGTGGTGCAGGTGGACTGTCTGGGAGTGTCACGCCATGGCACGAGCCCTGTCACAGCCGAGTGATGCATCGGTGTCGTTTCGTTTCGTGGAATGTGCTGACGTAGCTGAACTGAGTTAGTGCATGCAGGCGACTCCTACATCACTTTCAGTACTCGTATAATACTGCAAGGCCACGGCGAACAACGAGTGTAATGAAGTCATATAGCTGGAGACACTGAAAGTTGAGAAGTTGGTTCTAGAAGTTCGAGACAGAAGTGGTTCATAGGACTAATCGTATAGCGAAATCAGTATTTAGGTATCAAGTGTATTAATGTACATCGCATGAAGCTCATTTTTCGACGCCTTAAGATAACTTTTGAAGTGTTTGAAGATTTGATAACTTCACAGATTCATAGGAGACGATTTGCCTCATCACCTCAATACCATACCTACTTTTTACAGAAATATTCCTTCTGTAAGGCTCGTGTGGCGCGGTGGTTAGAATTTCCTTCCAGTACACACGTAGTCATAAGTTCCATTCAGCATCCTAAGCTCACTAAGTCTTTCATCCCGCCGGCGTAGGAAAATGGCTATCTACCTTATGCAGAATGGGAGGTACACTGACTTGTCACATCGGTATGGCAGAGTAACTTATTGTGTACGCCAGATACTTATGTATTCACTTCTGACGAAGCTCGATGAACTCGGATCTATGGCGCATCTCTTGCCGATTAATCAATGCTGAATGATCTAGCTTTCTGTCTACCTATTCATTCAGTTTTAAACACCAATAAAGCTCTAAAAAGATGAAAACGAAGTCTATTTTTTGAAAATGTTTCATAAAAGCAGGAGGCTCTCAAAGGTCAAAGATTTATTATGAACGCCTACGCTGCTTGGTGGAAAGATATTGGTTTTCCAATTGTTTTCGTGCTCGAAATACGAGCCTTGACATAGAAAAAGGTGGAAAGCATAACATTTTATGGGCTCCGATGAATCAGAAAATATTGATATGTTGGTCTAGAGTGGAAGATGGCCGTTATTTCATTCGTGCCGAGCGCATTGTGCTCAATACATCTAGACCGTTATGTGTTAGGTAAATACACTGTTAGGACGAAATACGTCTTTATCGTATTCCTGTTCGTTGACGGATTATATTATTAAAGAATTGAGTTTAACGTAAAATGTCTGGTCTAAATATTTCAAACAGGTAGGAAACCATATTTAGCTCCGTCGGGAAGTCAATCATAAACGAGTTCATCATAGCCAACTTTTGTTAGATAAAGACAATGAGATAATCTCAGAGAAATCTGACACCATTTTTCCGAGACAGAAGAATGAGAGCTTAATTGCTCGGCAGTGTGGTCGAAACAGAGCCCTCGACATTGGCTCACAGCCCTCTGGGCTCACAGCGTTTGGTTACTGGACTCGAGAGGAAATTCAGGATAACATAAGCAAAGGCTCAAACCACCTTATTATAGCATACTCTTGCATGATATTAGTTGAAAGCCTTAGAATGATCCCAGAAACATTGTCGACGATACTGCAAATCAGACAGGAACTCTCCGACTGACATCTTTCTACTCCTACCAAATGTCATTACTTCTGTTGCCGACATAGGCTGACACCAATGATGTAATATTGATGGTGGTGTCCTCTCTCCGACATTAATGAACAATCTAATTGATTTCAGGAAGTCCTGTCTACATCAAGAGAGTACCTTTGACGGCGGCCTGTACCACATTAGCGGACATCGAACCTAAAAATATGATCGGATCAGCATTGCATGATTAGCAGAAGTACTTACTATTATACATGGCTCGGTTCACTCTATATAGCGCTCCTTGTTTGGAGCGCTCGCCGGAGTAATGATCGCAAACTGTTCATATCGATTGCATATTTCTTATAATTTCTGACACAATCAGTGCATATATTATTATTGTAATAAATAAATACGACAGCGATTTTACCTTTGAGGTTATGGTACTACAATATACTAACACACGATATCGAATTTTATTTACTGCATGAAGATTGTTTTCACACAAGGCTATTTAGTCTGCTTAATTAGAATCCGCTTGTTCACACAGATTAGCCAACGAATCCAACTGACACCAACCAACCGAAAACCCAGTATAGACGAGTTTTTGAGCAGTGAGAATTATAAACTCGATTCACCCATATCACCTATGCTTCTAGTGACCATCGAGTTTCTTGATCGAGTAATGTGAAAGGCTCATATGCTTCAGTCGGTAGTCAATCGAGGGATTTGAAGACCTTTTTTGTGAGGCTTCTTGATACAAGTGGTGCTCCATTTCACTGGATTCGACTTGATACCAACAGGAAGATTCTCGTGAACGACTGTGGACAATCGACTTGAATCACTGCGGTTCCGATGAAAGTGAAGGCGATCAAGCGCTAGCCACAAAAGAGTTTTGGTATCTACGTCGTGTAACTTAATGAAAAAAAAATATTGATAAAAACGATGTTGAAAGGTATCAGCTTACTTTCGTGTTGTAAGAATTCCAGGAAGAACTTTTACAATCTGATCAATAATCTATACGCTGTTTTCTTAAAATCCCATGAAACCGAACTGCTATCACACCCTATCCTCTGGTTTTTATAGATGCACCATAGAGTAAAGGTAAAATTTCAGATACCCTATTATCTGCATAAAACGACATTTCTTTAGTGTTATAGCATTCAATAACGTCACTTGAATCTTCCTTTTCTCTACTGGTCAGGTTTCCGAGGCGTCATTGAGGGAAGGAGAACCGTGGCACGGAGCTGTTTTATTCTATGCTCTTATTCTCTCTATTACATCCTTGCTGCTCCTCCAGGCTCCCAAAGCTGATGATTACTAACGAACTCTGGATCTAATTAGATCGTGATGTTAAGGAATTCTCGACTCATTTACACAAACCTGGAGCATATAGAAATGTTGTTTTCCCCGATCTTGATTGTAAATAAGAAAAGACCCGTCTTTTCATTAGGAGCGCTTTCTGGTGACCCAATCAAAGGCGAACCATTTCAGAGGTGCTGTTGAAGTTGTGGAACATTCTCTACATTCTCTACACCTGGTTAGTGCTGGATGTTATAGAGTAGTAACTCCCACGTCCGACGTTCTATTAACCTCCGCATTGATTGAATACTTCTTTCCACTTCCGTTCAGCAAACACGAGGTGTTATTTTATTTCTTTATTTACGTACAAGCTGACGTTTCAGCGGATTTCGCCTTCCTCAGAGCCTGGAAAGGTCAAGTTGACAGCAATCTATTCGGCCAAACACCTCAATAACCAAACAAAGAAGACGCTAAACCAAGATTTCAATCACACTGAACACAGTTTTGCACACTCACCACTTCCTATGAGGTCTCCACTAAGTATGTCACGTAGAGACCAACCGCACAGAAATCACGTGGAAGTATAATGTGCCCCTCACATCAGAAAAGCAGTTTTATATACTGCTCTATATCACGCGTGATAATGAGGCATTCTTCCCTGCGGTTCATTTTCGGATTTCTGGAATTAATCCAAAACGCCTCGAGAGTTTTACGCGCTTGTGTACTCGATTCCTGTGCGAGGATCGTGACACGTACTGCAAAGTCCTCCCCGTTATGTCTCTGGGTCCTATGCGTGCCTAGCGGGGTATTTGGTTTATGTTTTCCAGCTAGGTGTTCTTTTATGCGGACACAGAGGGGTCTGCCCGTTTCACCAACTACATTGGGTCAAAATCGACGAATACATTGGCCAATGCCTCATTATCACGCGTGATATTGGACAGAATATAAACCTGTTATTCTGATGGGAGGGGCACATTACGCTTCCATGTGAATTCTGTGCGGTTGGTCTCCACGCGGCATACTCAGTGGAAGACTCATAGAAAGCGGTGAGTGTGCAAGGAAGCTATTCCGTGTTCAATGCGATTGAAATCTTGGTTTAGCGTTTTCTTTGTTTGGTTATGGAGGTGTTTGGCCGAATAGATTGCTGTTAACTTGACCTTTAAAGGCCCTGAGGAAGGCGAAATCCGCCGAAACGTCAGCTTGTACGTAAATAAAGAAATAAAACAACACCTTGTGTTTGCTGAACTGAAGTAGAAAGAATTATAGAGTAGTGT